CCTAACTGTGGATATATGCCAGTACGACCCCGGCCAGGGCCGTGACTTCGTGCTTGCAAGACAAAAAATAACAACACCACAAGCTCCCCCCTCAACCATCACATCAAAAACCACAAACAACCAAAACCACACACACCAAAAAAAAAAAAAAAAAAAAAAAAACCATCACAACTCCTCATGCCCCCTCCCTCCCCCCCCACCATCCCCCCTCCGGTTCCACGCCTTAACCTTCCCCCTAACAATATCCCCCAAAAACCCCTCCACCTCCCCCGCCCTAACGGGGAGATCCCCCCGAAAGGGATACCGATATACCTCACCCGTAGCCGGGTTCTGGACGGCCAATCCTACCCCGCCTTCGTCTTCCAACCCAAGCATGGAGGGGGCGTCGGGGAATTCGGAGGGCGAGGTGGTGAGGAAGGTTAGGTATTCTTGGTATTTTTTTGCGAGGGGTCTGACTTGTTGATGGAATATTTGGAGGTGGAGGGGGGAGGGGGGGAGGTAGTGGAGGAGGGATTTTCCTGACTTTTTTTTTTATGTTAGTATGTTTGTGTTGTTGGTGAGTGTGTGTGTGTGTGTGTGTGAGGATGGGGTTTTTGGTGATGGATGGATGTGTGTGTGTGTGTTTGTTTGCGGTGGGAGTATGTATGTTTGTGGGGTTGGGTGTGTGTGTAGGTAGGTATGGATGCATATTTGTGGTGATAGGTAAGGTAGTGGGCACGACGTGGGGTGGTGGTTTCGATTATGTCTCCCCCTCTCTGCTTTCTGCTTCCTTTTGCATATACGGCTTCCCTGTGGTAATGTGCTTTTTTGTCTTCTGAAGCCCGCCACCACGCAGGGACGAGAAGGCCCAAAAGATGCCGAATCATGTGCATATGGGTTCAAATAGGGGGGATCAAGGAGAGGGGGGCGGAGAAGGGTGGTGAGGAGAGTGTTGCTGTGGGATTCAGGGAGAAAAAAAATACCTGGTATATCTCCATCTCATTCCGTCTCGTCAGCTCGGGAATCAACGGCGTCGCGCACTTTTTCACAAACGTCTCAATCCCCTCGCTCGGCACCAGTCCAATCTCCTTCACTTCCAAAACGTGGTGCATCTCATCCTCCCTGTTGTAGCACTCTATCCTCCCGCCATCCCTTGTGTCAGAGGTGATCCCGAAAGTGTACCGATCTCTGTACTTTTTTGCCTGCGCTTCAAAGTGTTCCCTTATCAGACTCGTCGAAGGGAGATGCGCGAGGAAGGTGACCTCGTCGCTGGACAGGAATGTCGATATCTCGGAAGCGTCGATGGTCGGGATTTCGTTGCATGGACGGGTGGTCATGCGTTTGACGAACGAGACGATAGAAGAGGTCCGGCGTGGACCGCGGTAGCGCTGGAGGAGCGTGGCGTGGTGGTAGAGTCGGATTGTCGGGAGGGACGAAACGGTGTAGTTCGCGCAGAGGGATTTGGAGTAAATGCAGTCTATGCTGGTTACTTCGATCGAGGGGATGGCCGGAAAGGTCCATTCTTGTTCGAGGGATGTTGATTTTTCGCTTCCTTTTGTTAGTCGTGGTGGGAAACTGAAGGAGAAAAAACATACTCGGTTGGCTTTACATGGTGATTCGAGTTCGATTAGTTGATTATCTCGTCCTGCAATGGGAATGGGGACATACATGGACGACTGTTTGAATTAGCATCCGAATCCACCGGAGAGAAGAACATGTAGGGCTACTTACACGCAACAAGAGTATACTCATTCTCCTCCAGAGCCCGTTCGAATGAGTCCCCGCTGAAATGACTCCAGCCCAGAGCTGGGGGTATCAACAACAACGTCGTCAACCGCATTTTGACTCGTTTTCGAAAGTAGAATCAAAGAAGAAAAAACATGAATGCAGTCGAGGTATCATCCCACGGGACGTCGTCGGAACGCGGGACGCACTGACGACAGGGGCCAAAAGCTTGTGTGACAGGGGTGCTGATCCGAACGACCTGCGACAGATATCCCCGGCCTCGGCGGCCCCTGAAACTTTCTTCAGGGACGAGATGACGTGAGTTGCGAAGCTTGAGCGCGGGGTTAGTTTCAGTGATGGGAGGAGATATGGGATGTCCTTTTCTTTCCGGATGATTCCATCTTCATTTCCTCTCATTTTCTTTTCATGAGATCGGACGAACAACAACAAAATGAGGATATCGCGATATTTACTAGGCGGCTGCGTCGCCGGTGTCATTGCCGACCAGGTCCCGCTGGTTGGCGACTACAACTGCGAGCACCCACCCTACCAAGTGCTCATGGTATCGAAATCGCCGCGGGTGATTTACATTACCGACTTTTTGACTCCCGAGGAGCGGTCTCACCTGCAGAATGTCACGTAGGTTTTTTTTCCTCATCTTCTCCCCTTCTCCCCAAACTAACAAGCCAAAGTCAAAACTCCTTCACCCGCTCACACGTCGCCTCCCGCGCCGGCGCCGCTAAACACGCCGTCCGCACCTCCCAATCGACCCTCGTCCCGCGCGACGCCATAGTCCGCTGCATCGAGACGCGCGCCCTCGCGTTCCAGGGCTACGACACACCCCGCCGCAACCTCGAGCCCTTGCAGCTCGTCAAATACGGCCCGACAGAGCACTACCACTACCACACCGACTGGTTTCTATCCCAGGAAAACGCGTCCCCTCAAGCAGGCGGCAACCGGGTCAGCTCATTTTTTGCGTACGTCCAAGTCGCGAATGACACGACCGGCGGCGGGACGAATTTTCCGCATCTAGACCCGCCGGCCGACGCGCGCTGGTGCGAGATGGGCATTGTGGATTGTGATGATGAGTATGACAGGGGGGTTACGTTCCGGCCGGTCGAGGGGAATGCGATTTACTGGGAGAATTTGAGAAGCGACGGGAGCGGGGACGAGAGGACGTTGCATGCTGGGCTGCCGCTGACGGGCGGAGGCAAAATTGGGATGAATATCTGGACGAGGGAGATGGCGTTGAGCGAGGACGTTCGGGGGAGGGATTATTATCCTTGATACTGGCTGCATGGAATAATGTAACGACCTCGTTGGCCGATGCCATGCATGTGAATATGCCCAACGTGGTCTGCAGCCCAGAGCCTTGCGCCGGATTGGGACATGTAAAAATGCTGCGCCCCCGCCCGGACGGTGTGGTGCCCGGCCAGACTCATCGGTTTGTTCTGGTTGCTTTTCGTCACTTCCTTGGAAAAACTCGAACTAGTACCCATCTTCAACCGTCAGCCATTCTCGCATCATTTCATCAACCATCGCGGCAGAAGAACACTGAAGATGCCATCCCTCGGCGCCATCCAGATGATCCCGCGCGACGCGTCGCAGGGAACGGGATACCCCTCCTCCCTCAAAAACCACGCGATCCCCTACGGCATGCTAGGCTTCCTCGGCGACCTGCTAGCGGTATATATCTTCTTCTGCGTGTCGTGCCACCGCAGCCCAATATTTCCCTGGATGAAATTGAGGGGACGAAGATGGGGGCTGTGGATGGCGGCGATCCAGGGCGTGTGCTGCGAGGGGCTGCTGCTGTATGAGCTGTTCCGGTTTCGCTTCACGGCGGAAGTGGTGTTGATCCATTGCGCGCGTTTGTTTTATGTTTTCTTCTTTGCCTGTGGTGTCTGGGGTGGGGTGGATAAGAATATGAAGAAGGGCGAGGATAAAGCAGATCCAGAGAGACTGGGTGGAGATGGGACTGAGAAGAAAGATGAGGGTGCTGTGGACGGACATGAGGAAGACCTGACAGAAAAAGGAAGTGTTAGCGTGGATCTGGACGAGAAGACGAGCAAGGACGGGTGTAGGTTTGGCGACAAGAGAGAGAGGGATTCACAAACTTTCAGGCTGAGTATCGACACCTGCGTCGAGGTTCATGACACTCCAGCTGGTGTCGAGGATGAAAAGCCTGTCGAGAAAGCGACGGTTGACGAGATCACCACGATAACCACGACTTCGACCGACACGGCCGCCAACATCACACCGCCCGCGGCCAATCCCACATCTTCACCTCCAACGCCATCCACAACCACAACAGATAAAGAAAAAAGCGACCAAGCAATAATGCTCACCCTCGCCATAATCACCACAACCCTCCAGACAGCAGGCACCTTCCTCCTCCTGATCCGCCTCGACACCAGCCCCTCGACCTCAGAAAGGTCCATCTACGCGCTCGTCATGCTCGCCATCGCAACCGGCATCTTGGGTCTAGTGTTCCTCGGTTCCCTCCTATCCCGCTGTATTGTCCTGTCAAAATACCACAACTTCAATCCCGACATCGCTACCCCGGAGGAACGTGCCAAGAGGGAAAAGGCCATGAGCGGCAACGGACCGATGGCGGTTTTGTTTCCCCTCATCTTTCTGGGCATGGTGGCGGTTTGGGTTGGCGATTGGGGCGTGGGTATTGCTGCTGGCAATTTGTGGGGGATACTTGGTCCGGATAGTGTTTATGGCTCCGAGGCGGTGGCCATGGATGTGGTTGTGAGATATTGGGTTTACTTTGGCGCGTCCAAGCTGACGCTTTTTGTTTTCTAATTGGGAAGGGTGTGAGGGTGAGTGCAGCTTTGCCGGTTGGATTTCTCAATATGGAAGATGAATGCGTTGGGTGAGATGGTGGATACTTTATCCTCTGTGAAAGACTGAGTGAGGTCAGGATGCATATCTTGTGGAAGAGAGGATGGCCCTGTGGCCCTGGCTAAATACAGTGCCTGTGGTCCTTGCGTGCCTTCCATCTTTCATGGCTGCTCCTTCCTGGATATGGCTGTTTCACAGACTGTGAAATTAGGGGTTGACAAACTCACAATGCTGTGCTGTGACTTGAACAACACTGCTGAATATTGTTGCATAAAAGCGGGTGCTGGGATATGCGAGAAAGACAGTCTCTTGTTTTTCAGATACCCAAGACAAACATCCGTTTCCCATAGACACAGAAAATCTTTGGTACCCAAAGCCCATGGGCAAAAACACTGTCTCAAATTGTAAAGAACCAAAAAAGGAAGTAGGAAGCTTTGCGCTTCCGGTAACTCGGATACGGGGAGTCGAACCCCGGGCTGCTGAGACACTTCAAGATCAAAGACCATGAGAGTCAGCGATGTTACCGCTACACCATACCCGATGGGACTTGTTGATGAAAACACATCGTCAAAAATCCCTCATGAACCCGAGTCGTGTTGCGCCCAGGGCATGCCCAAAAGTCCCACTGCAACGATTCAAGTCCTTCCTGGAGCGAGCTGCTCGGTTGGGTCCACCGATGGAAAAACGACACCAGACCTGGGTCCACAATGCTGACTCGTGATGTGGATTCATAACGGTCCCTTTCTAGTCGTAACACCGTAATGTACAGAAACCCCGGCAACCAAAAACTCCCCCGCTGCGAATCATGCGAAATGCACCTTTCTAACCCACCCGCTACCACCACCCAAACCCCTGCGTACACGCCCAAATTGCCGTCCCAGTGCGACGTCATGAGCCCCCAGATGTTGATGTCGGCTTCGGTTTCGTTGGTTCCGGGGTGGGAGTGTCGGCGGCGACCTCCTTGGTCGGCGACGGGCTGAGGGCCGGACCTTCCGGACTTTGTTCCGTTTGATCAATCTACCAATGTTATCAGAACCGTGTCTAAACCCCGCCTCGCAAGACCTACCTTTGGAGACGACTCCTTGGCGGCGGCGGCAGCCTTTGCCTTTGCCTCATCCTCTTTCTGTTGACAAGCCTTTACCAGCCGGTGTCTCTGTTGAGAGTGTGAGCATGCAGACGACAAGCCGCGTGGCGCAATCGCTGGACGAGGACATGGTGACACCCACCTTCAACGCATCACTTCTCGAGAAAGTCTTCCGGCAGATTGAACAAGGAAACGGCTTTGCGGCCATATGAATCCGCTTGTGTCTCTTCAAGTCGTGGTTCCGGCTAAAGCGCTGCGCACACTGATCACACCTAAAAGGTCGATCATGCGACGACAGTAGCGGCTCCTTGGGCTCGCGCGGCGGCAGCGGCATCGGGGCGTGGTTCTGTGCCGGCACCGACGGCGGTTGCAGATAATCCCACGGCGGCTGGGTGGGCGACCGGGAAAGATCATAGGGTGTCTGGAACCAGGTTGGTTTGGGAATGGGCTTGCGGGACAACAAAAGGAAACAAACCTTGACTATGGGCATGGCGAGGTAGCCCCGGCCCGGCGGCGGCGGCACCGGCGGGTTCGGAGCGGGCAGACCGTCCTGCCGGATGGGGGAGATGAGACTAGAAATAGGCGGGAGACGCTCGGTACGGCGCGACGGCGAGAGCTGGCCGGGCGAGCCGGGGAGCGGCCGTCGGGTGGTGGTGGTCCCGCTAGGCCCGTGGGGATGGCTAAGCGGGCCGGGACGCGGAGCCAGTCGAGGTTGGTTTGCGGCGGCGGCGGCCCCGCCCGACTGCGGGCGAAGGTGGGACTCGTATGGAGAATGGGATGCCGCCCGCTGCGGGTGCGCCAGCACGGCGGGCCCGGTCGAGTAGCCGGGGCTGCTGCTGGCCGAGTACGAGGGCGACGCCGACGGTTGTCTCCCCGACGCGCTGGCCGGACTCAGCGTGTCCGTCGCAGCACCAGCACCGCGGGGAAACTCGGGCTGCGGCGGCAGCGAGAACCGGGGGAGAGCGGCCTGCGCTAGTGGACGGCGAGCCGCGAACGAGCTTGATGATGCCGCCGTCGACGGAGGGGATTCTGTCTCGGCCATGGCTTGGTACGGAGCGCGTCCGACTCGGGTCCTGAGCGGGTGGTGGAGTGGTCGGAGAAAGAAGACGGTGAGATGGCGCTCATGGTTCCCAGCTGAGAGGTCGTGGGAAAGCTGTGCTGTGGCTGTGTGCCCTGAATAGGCATCGCGCGGCATGCGCTTGGCCTTGGCGGCGCCTGCTGTGCAGTGTGTACTCAGCAGCGCTCGAGGGGGCGCTCAAATAGGGCGGAACTAGTACCTAGGTAACGTTAGTGCCTCCCGATTTTCTTTTTGACTCGCGTCATCCCGCCCCTGGGGACCGACGCCTGCGTCTTCGCTTGAGTCTTGGGCTGTTTCCGTCGCCATCTAGAGTCCGCCGACCCGGGTCCAAACAAAGATTCTGCAACACGCGGGTTCGCGTTCGCACTGGCAACCACAAATAGCCCAGTACACACACACGCACGACAGCAACCCCATTCCGCCAGGCCCGGCGCGGTCCTTCATGTGAGACCTGCCAGACAGCGGGCGTCCAGCGTCTGAGCGCCTGGCCGAGGCGCGCCGTTTAACGTCCAATCCCGCACCGCTCGGCCCTTTTCCGCCGTCCGAAGGCTGCGTCGGTGGCGTCGGCCAGCCTGTCACAGAGCCGCCATCGCTTTGCAGCTGCATGGCTCAGCGCCACCAAGCCACCATCGCCAGACCTGGAGCGCCACGCGGCGGGGGTCTGTGAAACACACTGGCTGTAAGCAAAAGCCCCGGCTCCCGGCACAGGCCCAGAACAGTCTGTATCCCGAAAAGGGCAAAAGGGGCAGTCGAAGTCGACACCGGTGAGCGCGGGACGACGGTGATGACAGGGCCAGTTGAACACTACACTAGAGCGCCAAAAATGTAACGCCGGTATGAGCATGTCGAGAGATGCATCTCAATAAAACCGTCCTGTCCCCTGCATTCTGCGTCTGGACAGGCGCTGTCGGTCATCATCAAGCTCAACACGGTGGCCTTTTTTTTGACGCATCGCACGCATCGTCGAATAATTCAGGGCATCGCAGTGATGAACTGAAACCCAGCAGGTGTTGTATTCTGACAAGCACTCCATCTCCGACTGCATGATGGCGTTTGTTCGCTTGCAGCGGCAGGCCAGCGCGGTTCGGTGGTGCGGGTCAACATGTTCCCGGCTGACATGGCCATTGAAGGCCTGCTTCTCATTTCGTGGGGAGGTGAACTCGAGAGCGACGAGATTGAGAAGTCTGAAGCTTCGACATTAGCGTGATGTTGAAGAGTTGGATACGTCGAGAGGGAGGTATTCGAACAACTCTCCGCATCACAAGCGACGATGTTGTTTCTGTGGAGGACGACGCCAACTCGCAGAGGGTCATCCTCTACCATGAAACCTCAAATTCCGCTGGGCGGTTGTCGACATCGAATCGGCGTCTCGTATTTGAAAAGGACGCAGTGAGTATCATCCACCATCGCGAGCTACACACGTCAAGTTAGACGACATCTTATTAATCAGAGTGCCAGACATCGTGGTAGCGACGGATAAATGGCCGAGCACGGCAGCAAGCAATCGGCAGTGGAGACGGGGAATCCCCGTGGAGTGGTGTACCGTCCTGGTACCTTCCCCGGACTTGGCATTGATCTGGACACCACTGATCAGACGGCTGACCTAAGCGCGTTTGTTTGGTGGACGGCAGCTCGAAAGGAGCTGTGACTCACGATGTTGAGCAGTTTGACTTGATAGGTCGAGAGTCTGCTGTGCCGCACCATTACCGCAAAACAAACGCGGGACCGGTGATTCATCCAATTGTTGCCTTGTTATCGCCAAACTGCCTTGCACCTTCCGCCGTAAACATGAGATTGAGAGTGACGAGACCAGACAACCGGAGGGCTCTACCTTCCGTTCTCGGCCATGGCAGGATCCGACAGAGACGTCGAGAGCATCAATGCTTTGCGAAGGCAATCATCTCGACCGCCCCGCACTGGGCTCAGAAATAAAATAACTTGCCAGACTCTCCCAGCGCAACAACCACGACCCTCTCTCGACAGACTCAGAGAAACCACAGAGACATCCCTCCGGTACAAAACTGCCCAAAGCACGAAAAGATAACAAGCACCGCAATGGCCCAAGTCATGAAAGCCGTCGATTACACCCAAGGCTTCGGCTCTTTTCTCTTCGAGCCTTTGGAGGATGTGGACGTTGGCGTACGTTGGACTGGCTCAGCCCCGGTAACTGCATCTGAGTGAGTATTGGGGATCCTGTACCCCAGAAGCCCAAGCTTACGATCCAGGACGCCTTCTAGCTTCCCTCTCATGAAGCTGCCACTCGAGATCCGCCGCCGCATCTACGGGTTCGTCTCGGAAGGACTGCGCCATCGCCACAACGATGTCCACGAGCGCAGCCCCGGCTTCCCAGAGCCCGGAATTCGCTTCCGCGTCGTCGACCACACCTTTGATGAAGTCATGACAGACGAGAAGGACACCTTGCCTGGACAAGTCCAAGGCGCTCCAAGCGAGCGTAATGTCGACCACCGGACCGGCCCAGAAGATACCACTCGTGTTGACTTGTTTGAGATCTACAAGTCTGTCCGCACTGGCGAGTTCCACGAGGACAACCCGAACCTGCCGTCCAACTGGCGCGCCCTGCGCGACGACCCCATGGACTATGATTCAGAGAGTGAAGCTGTCTCTAGCGACGCCGATGATGATTCGGACTGGGACTCCGACGATGTCGAAATGAAGGACAGCACTAGCATCACGAACACGGACGGCTTGACTGTTAAGCCACGTCGCTGTGCCATCATTGTCAAGCGTCCAGTTGAGAAGTCGTGTCCACAGCACGGCCAGCCGGAGCTTCAGCAGAAGGGTGGTAAACGTGCGAGCAAGTGCCTGTGCGAGCCCATTGACACGTCGATTTATGACGACATTTTCAACCTCGGCCAGACCAGTCGCCAGGTGGCCCGGGAGCTTGGCCAGACCCTCTGGACCAACGCCACGGTTGAGTTTGATGGATCGCAGGAGTTCTTCAGCTTCCTTACTGATCGTCCCAATGCCCTTGCACATGTTGGCGGAATCATTCTCGTTGTCGAATGTAACTCTGCTGTCGCAGACACGGAGAAGAAGGATCTCGAAGCCATCTTCAAGGTCATCTCGGAGCAACTGGACCTGAAGTACATGGGAGTGGAACTCTATACGACTGTAGGAAGACGGCTGGATAGAGCCGCCGGCAACTCCTACAACGCGTATGATGAGTCGTCCAAGACGGGCAAGAAACTTCGAGATTTAGCACCCCTCTTCCGATCGTTGAAGACGGATGCTTTCACTGTCAAGTTGAACAATGTCTTGTCAAAGACGCTGTCCAAACGTCCCCAGCCCGCCGAGTTGGACTGGCTGCGTGAGGTTGAAAGAATGGAGGGAGTGGTGGAGCAGCGAGTCCAGTCCATGT